ATATATATAATATAGCCGATTGGATAGAGAGCGAATCGTTGCTTTCGAAATCTGTCCTCAAGACGCTCATTGCGTCTCCTTAGAAATTGAAATTCACTGCAGGGCTAATTAATTTAAGGTGTAGATCCGTCGTTTCCAGAAACCTCTAACCACTCGTGGGGACATTGTCAACCACAAAAGCTCTCAGGCCACCAATGACAGTACCGTACCGACTCTCAGCATTTAAATTCTGACTTGATAACCGTCTGACATAACTAGGGGCTTGCTAGAAGGTAAACACACTGATTGTATTGGTTTTTGTCACGTTTTTTTGTTGTACAGTGTTTTCGCTCGCTTTGCTCTCGTTTATCCCACTGGTTTTCAAAATATTAATTGCCTGGCGTACGCTGCTCATCCTGTAGAACGGACTGCAAAACTATCCTCATTTGTCCTCTGAAAACTGACAAATACCACATACAGACTTGGAAACGATCAGCTGTCGCTATTCACATTCTTCTGTCAGTCCTGGTAAGTGTGCATTCAATAGGTTTTCAGCTACCAGAAGGGTTTAAAGAGTTGGGCGAATGCGATTCGTCGAATATTTCCCTGTACACTCATCTCTGTCCGCCGATGAAGCAAAACAGTTCAGAGAACGAACTGAAGTTTTGTGCAAAGATCTAACACATTTATTGGGTTTGAGTTTCTCGGACTTTTGGAACGAAGTATGGCAGATAGTTTACCGAAATCCATCTTTTAAGCTGCTTTATAATCCTTCTCTACGGTGCAGTATCAATTCTGTGCTCAGTCGCGCTCCAAGGTACCATTCGTTCCACGATTTATTCCTTCCATTCAGGTATGAACTGGATTGCGTGCCTGACGAAGCTGCTTCATCCATCGAACGCCTACTCACCGTTCTCCTTGCTGTGTTTTCGAGGGCTAGCTCCCCGGAGGCAAACGAGGTACTCTGGGTTCGCATCTTAGACTTTTACTGTGACGATTTAAGGGCATGTCAACACAAACATTCGGAGAATTACTCTATGAAAACTATGTGTTCGATGTTACTCTCATGATGGATCTTTGTTCGATCTATTACGATTTTGCGCGGCCGAAACTGGTGGCCATCTTTTCGAACGTATTTTCATATCAGGAGAAGTATTGGGAAGATGTTAGGAGCATGATGCAGACACTACCCACGGTGGGTTGTCATCTATTGAAAGCATGTTAACCTTATGCAGGTCTTCGATCGTGTTGAGCGTGAACTGGCAAAGTGTTCTCACCAGATCGGGTGGTTTACGGATATAATAGCCTACATCTCCGACATATCCTGGTCACTGTACACATTCCTCTCAATCCTGTCTCGGTTAGAAATTACCACGGAAGTCAAAGACATAAACTTGGAGGCGCATTTACCAGAGATGTAAGTGATTTCATGGCTAGAAGCCTTTCGTTGTTGATTTGGCCTGACTCAACCATTGAAAGCTTTAACCTGTTTAGCCCATCAATTTATTAGGTTCGTTATTTCGCTGTACTGTGTTTTCTACTTAAGTTGCAATTACTTGGAGCTTTTATCAAAGTCATGCCTTTTGAAAGATCACATCACTTAAACTATTTTATCAAGCCACCGAAAAACTGTCAGCTTCTCTTTTCTTTTGTATTCTCGATGGGCGAGATGGCTCAAGTGGTTAGAGCGCGAGTTTACTGACCGAAGGGTCCGTGGTTCGAACCCGACCTCTGCCTCTTGACTTCCCCTGTCTAGACTTAGGCCACCTGGCAGTATCCCAGCCCTCGTGCTCCCTTCGGGTGGCATGGCAGCTAGGCTCAGAAGGGGCGCTACAGCTGAACGATTATTTACATTATTTATATATTCTCGATGGGTTTCTGTTTCAGGTGAACCTTGGGTAACATAAACCAAGACCATTCGTTCAGCTGTAGCTGCCACGCTACTAGAAGGAAGCACGAGGGCTGGCAACCTGGCTGGCCAGGTTGCTCAAGCCTAGACAGGGAAGTCGAGGTGCAGTGGTCGGGTTCGAACCGGTCAGTAAATCTGCGCTCTAACCCTCTTGCCTCCACATCAACCAAGATGTCGCTTGTTTTGCGTATGCGGGTCAGTAGGGACGAACACACCTATGTGTGTGTGTGTGTGTGTGATATAGGGTTAAAATGATGCCAATGATTGCGTTTGGCTACCTTCAGTTTCGTGTTCTGTTTGATTTCACCCTCACTTACCCTGCATTTTTATGCTCGTGACGGTAATCAGATAAAGACTTGTCCATGTTCCTGAGTTCATATGACTTCTTGATACAGTGATACAAGCAAAACCTCATGTTTTTATACACGATGGTCACTACAGCTAATTAACCTGGTACGTGTCCATAGATTATTTTCAATGCATCAAGGTGAGATCAAACCATAACTTTGGATTTATGGCATCGGGTGACGCTCGCTACTCACCACTCTTTCGTTGCACAAGGAATTGTGCGGTATGGACCAGAACACTGGTTCTCATAAACGACCATAGGGCGGCTGGTTAAGAATTTCATAGTTCTTTTTGGTGTCCTCAAGTACGCGCTAGGAATGCACCGGACGAGATAATCAAAGTCTTCGCTAAACATCCTTGGGGAAAGCAGGTTGCTTATCGGTTAGCAAGAAAATGCCAATAGAAGAACGGAGTCGCATCAAATCGGATAGTTATGCGGTCATAATTTTTTTGGCAGAAGTAACAAGCAGACGTATGGGCGGTTCTTGAGCGTGGTTTCTAGCAAAGTTCCGAAACGCTGTACATGATTCGACCCTTGATAGCTTTTGCCAACCCACTCCTTGAGTTTTTCAGTTGCTATGACCCATTTTTTGATTTTTCAGCACTGTTGGGCTTCGCCTGGCGAAGTTAGAATGGTCAGTTGCATATTTGTTGCATGTACGTGATGTTATCGTGGTCGGTGACCGTACGAGCTTAGTTGAGGAATTAGTTCGGCATTAAGTGACTCGGAATTTGACGAATGAGGCATACCACGGTTGGAAAACAAGAAATAGAAAATTCTGAGTGTTCCTTATATACCAGAGACGAATATCACACAGGCACCCATCACCCAGTCGATACCTGTACTTCGAGAGTTTTGTGGAAATGCGGATCAGTACGAACTCCGTATGAAGCGGGTCTACATACAAAAAAATGATGTCTGACAACTTTTCCGGAATATTTTCATTTTTGGTTTAACTGCTTTTTTGGGCCTTTCAATTCACAGGTTGGCTGCATTTTTCGAGGCTGTCTTCGTGCCACTTCGGACCGAAATCTTATCGGATTTGCAGCTTACAATTGAGTGAGTTTTTTTTGTTTGCAGCGTTTCATCCAGCACACATTGGCGCTGCTTGTCTTGCCAACCGGTTAAAATTGGCTATGGTCTTATCTACCATGAATCTGATGGAGCTAGGGGACTAAAGCGTAACCTACTCCCCACGGGCTGTTAGCTTGCTTGCGTGTAGGCCTGATCAGCATGGCAGCATCCCATCACTGATATCTTCTTTGGTTTGCGTGTTTGCTGTACCTATGAGGCTAAACCTCTTTATTTGATGTTCTTCACGGCACAGACGTTCGCATCAAGCACGGATTCCCCCAGAACCGGGGGATGGGATGGCTGACCCTGTGAATGCGCGTGACCCAGCGCATTCTCTCTCCGCTTTCCCTGTCCAGTCTAACGTAACTAGCTGCATCTCGACATATCATAAACCCTGGATAGTTAGCTTTTAAGGGTAATATTAATGCCAATATGAACAGCATAGCAACCAATCTTACTGTCTACCCCCTCAAGCTTGCTTCGAATTTGCTAGTTCAGAGACCCGTTTCCTGATGGGCTCTTTTCCGGAGGTTTTATCGCTCCGAATTGTCCGAAATCATACGGTTTGGTGCTGACATTCCAAATCGCAGTTGCGAAAGCGCTCACGACCATGTAATGACGGTGAAACATCGAGAAATGACTACAGAAACAGGCATGTGAATAAATTACGAGCCACCCAGATAAATGTAATTGCTGCTTCCGCACATTGTTCCGAAAAAGTAAATTGAGACCGAATTAGATCATTTCGGCGGAAAGAGTATTGCATTTTCAGCTACAGATTAGGCTACAGATTAGGAATTCGTATGACTTTGCCAACAAGGTCGCAGGGCTTCCTTTGGAGATGGACGAAGTCGTCGTGAGTTTTAACGTAATATCAATGTACACAAACATCCCTAGGGTAGATGCTCTGGAGGTAACTAAGAGGTTGTTACTGGCAGACACGACACTCGGGGAACGGACACAGCTCTCGGTGGATGAAATAGTTGAGGGTATAAGAGTGTGTTTGATAAGTGATAAGTTTGTTTTTGACATAACTGTTTACTCACAAGAACAAAGCCTTGCAATGGGATCTCCAATATCCCCAGTTTTAGCCAATATTTACATGGAGGACTTCGAACAAATAGCTTTGGCCGGATATCATTGTCCAC